TTTCTAAGAAATGGGTGCTATGTACTGTGCGAAAGCAATCGATTTTGCAGGCATAAACTTTTGTACATCCCTCTTCTAAGAATTCCAATTGAATAGCCAGCTCAGGGCAATATGATATTATAAACACCAGCACATATCAGTCTCTGGTGTTTATAGCTTCGGAGCAAAGAAAACACATCATTCATAACAGAAACAGCTCGCAATAGCCACAGGAACGTTGCTGCAAGACAGGCATATGTAACGACGACTTAGCGCTCTTAAACGCGTGTGTCATTAAATACAGTCCTCCTGACAACAGGCCAGTGAAAAATCTAACAATCTACAGCAAAACCATCAATTATTATGGGCGTTATAACATACGTGTGCAGCTGGACGAAACATACACGTCGAACCCCCCCAGACGATTTAAATCCCTGACAAAACATACACGACGAACCACGGCAACGGGTTAATCATGATCAATTACAACAGCTCACAATAAATGACTGCCTAAGACTCGCTCCATTCTCATTCTAAGACTACTCCTCAGAGTCAAGTCAGAGTTACTTTACTATTGGCAGTGTACCACCATTGAGTTCACCCTAGCAACAAGCCCCTTGAGACATATGGCCAGAATTTTTTTTCAACTGAACACTTGTGGTCATAATTCTCTAATGAGAAGATGGGTCTGTCGTTTACAATTGCTGCTGGCATTCACCAGCCAGCTATTCTCATGTCCGAGTCCCGCGGGACTCCAATCCACATTTTATTCTCAGATTTGAGATCTACAAATTAACACACTGCTCAGTGAAATACCAAATTCTTGAGAATATTAGAAAACCACACTAATGCACTAGCAGTGAACCTACTAGACAGTAGCAAAATTACACATAGACTGAGAAGATACACCATCCTAACTCTACCAAACAAACAAACAAACCAAACAAATTATTTATAACTCTTATTTCCATTCTGTCCTGTCCTATGGCTTGATATTCTGGGGTAATTCAGCTTCTGCTGAAAAGCTTTTTGGGTTCATNTATGGTAGGGGCGTGTCCCACATGGCGGTGAAGGTCTTTAATGCACTCCCTTATAATCTTAAAGAAATTGCTTCCATACCTAATCAATTTAAAGTCAAATTGAAGGACTTTTTGAGTAATAATTCCTTCTACACCCTTGATGAATTTTTTAATAGATGATTTTATTTTGCTAAAGTAATTATTAATTGTTCACTTATTATTACAATTAACATAACAAAATATATAAAGGGCCTTGGCAGAAATATGATTGCTTATTATATACTAATTGTTATTTTGAAATGTAATTATATTTATTTATGTATTCTTGAATTTATTTCTATAACTTGTTTTTCTATGTTTTTATTGTATCTATGTTAAGATTCAAACTTGACTATTTCCACATCTCATGGAACTTGTTTCTATATGGATTTATGGAAATGAAATAAATGAATGAATGAAACCTGAGTGAAACCCAAATGCAAGAATTAAAATGATACCTAAGTGAACAAGAAAGAAGTATATGAGTTATGCCACTGGGCATAACTCATTCACAAGCCAGTACTTATTGAACATATGCCTTTATTGCAGATTCTGCAGGTTATGTATAATAAATGTGTGGAAAAAATATAGGTGTGGCAATTCTGTCAGACAGTAGGAAGGCATGCTTACATGCATTCAGATTAATCACAATTGTAACATGGACATTTGTTATGTGGTGACCTGGCACCTATCTGTACAATCTGTGGTATGGCTTTTAGTGTTTTACAGTATTGTGGTGACATGCCAACATTATGACAGTGATCACTTGTACAAATTATTGCAGACATGTTACCCTTAGAGAGAGGGGGGGGACAGTGCATGCACGTGCGTTTGGGGGAGTGCCGGTGGGTGGGTGTATACATACACTTTTTCTCCATCATCCTTTTACTTCTTAGAAGTAAATATTCTTCTCAGCACCCTGTTCTGACACCCACAGTCTACTTGAGGCCAGTATGTTCATTCACATTGGCAGGGTGCTGTCCAAGCAAAACATCAGGACTGTGGGCTGAAGAAAATGCCCACATTTCTTCAACATGTGAAGGATGACTTAGCTCTAGAAGACTCTGGGCATGTGCAGCATCCTGTGAATGTGAGATGATCTGCAGTCGACAGACTGAACATTCCATTGACACCAGGATCAAAGCGCACCATCTACATACCTGTGTATATAATCTGCAGAAGTCAGCCAAAGCAGAATACAACAGAAACTGGAATCACCACATCCTGCTGTATGACACCTAGGCATGTGGATTAGAAGACTTCCATCATGTGTAATATTTGGAGTGTATGATGCAGTGAGGCTGTTAAAAGAGTTCCTATGTTTTAAATCCATGAGGACTAGTACAGACAGACTGAGAAGATTAGTGTGGAGTGATTGTAAATTGTGTAAATCAACAACAGTATTATAATAATTTGTAGTTATGACCTGTAAGTATCCAATACATCCAATTACCGACCCAAACCCATGTCTTTAGTCACTGTGTGACACGTGAGAGTATGTTAGAACTCATTTCTGCAGCAGTGAAGTGGCATTTTGAAATCAGTCCACAACAAACCAGTATAAAGCAGCATGCCAGAGCCAGCCAGAATTGCATGACTTACAGAGTCGTGAGGGAGTAAAATATGATCATGACTCCCATGGTGCTCGGAACTAAGAATGACTGCTGCTGAGTGCTGAGGGCCAACAGCAATTTACCTGAGCTGGCCTGTCAAGCCAGATGTGGTCTGAAGGCTCCTAGAGCTGTCAGTAAGATATGGTCATGAGTCCTGTGGGGCTTGGAACCGAGAATGACTGTGCTGGCGAGAGCCATCAGCAATTTAGCAGTCAGTCAGAAAAATATGGTCATGAGTCCTATGTGACTAAAGCCAGCAGCAGATGACCAGACCAGCAGAGCTGGTGACAACAGGATGCATTAGGGAGAATCCATATTTGATCCTATATCCTAGCAGCAAGTGGATTATGACAGAAGTACTGAATACCAGAAAAATATAGTAATCATTTGTACACAGGGAGAATAAATGACAATAAATCCAATTGTACTAATCTGAATCCCATGTGACAGTGTTAATCTTAACCTTATTAATTTTTGGACTTCTCATTTGATTTATATCCATCAACAAGTAACTGTGGAAGCTCACAAACCCACACACACACACAGAACATAGATAAGGGTGTTGGAGGAGAATATTTGGTTGTACAAGAGAGCACATAACAGGAGGCTGGAGAAAATTGCATATACAAACTTTGAGTCAGAATGCTTGAGGGAAGTGACCTCTCAGAAGACATGGAATGGAGGGTAGGATAATATGATGATGAATCTTAACAAAATGAAGAAGTATTAAGAGCGTAGCCAGGATTCATCTGGCTCAGAATTGGGACCATGCTCATTTATTGTATATATGATAATTAACTTTCAGTTTTCATAAAGTGTGTGGAATTTTTTGAGCAACTGAATGACTAAATAGGTGCTCCAGAAGGATTCTGCTCTATGGAGTTAGTTAATAATATCTGGTACATGAGAAAGTATGAACTTTGAGTTGTTATGGATATGATAAAATGGCTTAATTTATTTTTCATGTCCAGTCATTGCAACTGTATATTGAATGTGTTATTTCAATCACACACATTCAAATTGACTGTTTTTCTATTTACAGTGAGTCTGAATACCAACGGGGCCTCAGTGTAGAAGAATCAGACACCACTGGAGGATTTGCCATTGTTATTAATGGACACTCTCTTGTCCACGCATTACATCCACAGATGGAGAAACTGTTCCTTGAGGTGTCTAGCCAATGTGAGTATTCCAGCACTTCTTATTTTCAGAAGCATTTTTGTAACAAGTCATTTTGCATGATGATGTTACACTCTTTACAGTCATTGGCATAGTCAGGGAATTATGTCCACAGCGAAATGAAATCAGAGAGGTTCTTGAAAGTTCAGTATTGCCGATTTACTTAACATTTCATCAGTATGTGTGATTCTTGCTTTTCTGAGAGGAAGGTTCATGCAAGGACCAACTTTCTTTTAGGGCTTACTGAGTCTCTGAATTCTTTCCATTTTCTGGTGTTCTGAAGAGTACATTTCAGAAACTGGTTATATTTTGGTCATTAGGCGATGTGACAGGGAGCCACCTGCTAAGTTGGATCTGTTAAAAAGTGCTGATATCAGTCACTGGTCTGATGATGAAGATGCAGTGATTAAGATAGCTTTTTCTGATAGACCAAACAAGGTGACTGAGATTAGCGCTTTCTGACTGATCCCATTGTTTCACCTGGGGATGGAAACTTCCAGTTTCTGGAAAATATGTTCTTTCAGAATACTAGATGATAGACAAAATCTAGAAACTCAGTAATCCAAAATGTGATATACCATTCACAGAACCCTTTAGAACTGATAACATACAACCACTATTGATCTTCCTTTAGGAAATTTAAACGGTTGGTAATTGAATTAGCCAAGACCCTTAAGTATGTAATTTTTGTCATCAGATTTTAGTTTTCCTCAGTTTAAGGTTTTACCTCACTTAATTCTCCGTTTCAAGGATCAGTAATGACTCCCGTTTATGATCTTTTTCCAAATAATGTTAAAGTGACTGGTTCCAAGAGAAACCTTAAACAGCAGTTCCACTATAATCATTTCTCTTGTACCTCTGTTAACAAATTTTATGTAATTTATGTATCCTTGGTTTCATATTCAAGGTGGTATCGGAAAGTTCCTGGACTGTTACTGTTGTAACTACCTCAGTGAAAGAAGACAAGAAGGGAGCCCAAGTTCACACTTCTGCAGGCTAATTAAATCAGTCTTCCATGTGACACCCTGCTGTCAACACGCGTTGTTTTTACACGAGTGCTTTTTTTGACTTACTGTTTTGTTTTGTCTGTGATGGATGGCAAAATTGAGCACCATATCTGCATCAAGTTTTGCATGAAGCTCGGTAAATCCCTGCTGAAACTTGAAATGCTTTATGAGGCTTTTGGAGAACATTTTTTTAAGCTGGACAGCGGTTTCTGAATGGCATTCACGTTTCAAGGCCAGTCGAATGTCAGCTGAAGATAACGTTCAGAGCAACCAAGCACCAGTAAAACAACAGAAAATGTTGAAAAAATCTGAGAACTCATCCATGAAGACTGTCGCAAAACAGTCCTTGAGCTCACAGATACCATTGGGATCAGTTAACGGAGTTTCCCAAGAGATCTTAACAGAAAATTTGAACATGCACAGCATTGCTCCTTCATCACGACAACACGCCCGCCCACATATCCCTGAAAAACACAGAGTTTGTGACTAACAGGAACATGGTTGTCATTCCCCAACCTCCCTACTTACCAGACTTAGCCCCCTGTGATTTTGCTTAGTTTCCCAATTTGAAAATTAAACTGAAGGGACAGTGTTTTGAAACTGTCTGACATCCAGAGGGAATAAATAGCAAGCAGTACTCAACAGCATTAAGGAAAATGACTTCCAGTATGCTTTCTAAGCATGGAAGAAATGATGGGATTGCTGTATACGTTCCCAAGGAGACTATTTTGAAGAAAATGGCAGCCACAATTGAACAAGTTAAGCCAGCATTTCTCTTTGACCTAGTCCTGGAACTTTCTGATACACCTCATAAAACAGTAGTTCAGCTAGAGAATGGCACCTTGTCACTGATCTTAGTTGCAGATGTTATGCCTATGGAAATGAAGTTTCTTGTTTTATTACTTATCTATTTAAATTTTCAGGCAAGTCTGTTATCTGCTGTCGAGTAACACCACTACAGAAGGCAATGGTAGTAGAACTGATTAAGAAGAACAAGAAGGCAGTGACATTAGCTATTGGAGATGGAGCTAATGATGTTTCCATGATCAAAGCAGCACACATAGGAGTTGGTATCAGTGGGCAGGAAGGCATGCAGGCTGTCCTGGCATCAGACTACTCCATTGCCCAGTTTAGGTTCCTGGAGCGCCTGCTGCTGGTACATGGGCGTTGGTCATATTACCGCATGTGCAAGTTCCTGCGTTACTTTTTCTACAAGAACTTTGCCTTCACACTGTGCCACTTCTGGTTTGCTTTCTTCTGTGGTTTCAGTGCTCAGGTAAATGTCACGTTTACAATATATTTACATGCATTTTCCAGCACAAATAATATGATAAAAGAAGTAAACAGTGTGTAGATGGTCACTGTTTTTTTTCTGGGATATGACACAGTATAGTCATGTTGGTGTATATCTCCTAGTGTTTTGGAGGGATCCTCTGCCTCAATCTTCAGGCTAGAAGAGTAATAAACTGTCAGAACCTCAGATCTCACAAGGAAATGCTGCATACAGAGCAGAGCAGTAATTTGCTACTGGCCTTTCCAAAACAGTCGTTCTTAATTGTGGACCCTGTCAGGACTCATGACCAAGCTTTTGTTCTTTGAAAGACCTCTGACATGTTCTGAAATGGGACCTCCTCTTCTACAAGAGGAGAGTTCTGACAATCACTACTGTTGAATACCACATACTCCAGTCACTCCTGCATGTGTGTTAGTGTCTGTAAGTAAAATTTGCTGTGAGGCTTTAGTGTTAAATCAATCCCAAAAATTGTTAAGAATGGTATTTTATTTTCATGTGTAACCTTTTTATTTCATCACAGTTTAACTTCCCCTTGAAGAGGAATAGAATCTTCATTAATATTTCTGTGTTTCATCCGGGCCTTGGAGTTAGTAAATTTCTGCTTCTACTTTTTACCAGCTGCATGATTACCTAGCTTTTCAGCGCACAGAATAACTTTTCTTTTGAATGCGGCATCATGTGTAAAATACACCTCAGTGATAAAATGTAAGGCAATGACTGAACTGAAAGTTGGGGTTTGACTCACAATTAAATGTGGGGGTGGGATGATGTGGCTTGATGGTTCACTATGAATGTGTTTAGATAAGGTTATTTCCAGGCTACCCCATGGAAAGTTTGCAAAGTGGTGAATACTTATTCAAATTTGAGATGCGCCTCAGTTTTTCAGTGGGAAAAAATGTGAAAAAGTCTGTCTTATATTCAGAGTAATATGATATGTGTCAGGTTTTGAAGCATGAAGTGTCTGATCCACCATTCTCAGTAGAACATATGTAAGGGAATATGTGTGCAGAGACATTTTTGTGTAATTAGTTCACATTTGAAAGAAAACGTGTTGGGACGGAACTATGGTAAGTGAGATGAAACAGAATATTGATGTTATACACATGTGTTATCATGTTCTCTCACTTATCTGTCTGCTGTAACTGTCTTTGTCAATAATTGAGTCTTTTGAATTTTTAAAGCTGATTATGTCTGGGCATACAGTAGGTACATTTGAATATACAGTTAGACTATAAAGAAGCTGTTCAAAGATATATACCAACTTTATTTCAGTTTTCCAGGTTTGTCTTTGTTACAGACAGTATTCGATCCAATGTTCATATCTGTGTACAACCTGTTCTACACATCATTGCCGGTCCTAGCACTGGGTATCTTTGACCAGGATGTGAGTGACCGGTATAGTTTATGTTATCCAAAGCTCTACACACCTGGTCATTGTAACCTGTTGTTCAACAAGCGAGAGTTCCTGCGCAGTGCACTTCATGGGTTCTTCACATCCTGTGTGCTCTTCCTCATACCATATGGTAAGTTGCAGTTGCCCCATTTCATTTCATCACTTATCGAAGATTTTCTCTTCCTAACACATTCAGTATTGGGGCGCATAACACAGGTTGACCAAGAATAACTGTGCATCAGGTGTGCATATATACAGGGAGGCTCTTGGTGGTTTTGCTGAGGTGCAGCCTTACAAGTATTTGTGATCACTGCATCATCTGCAGAAATAGTGAGTGAGCAGCAGGGTCACAGAGTGAAGGTTACTGGTCAGCTTGCAGTATCCGCATTCTGTCTCTCTCAGCAGTTGTATCCACAGAAAACACAGGGCCTGTATTTTTCCCCATACTCAGAACATACCAAGCACCAACATTTACATCATGGAGCGGAACATCATGTATAAGAAGTGAATTTTTAGTCCTTAATATATGTTGTTTTGTGTGTTCATGTGTCCAAATAAAACAAAACCTCACCTAAAGAAAAGATGATAACTTCTGACACTTCGTAGCTGACTTATGCTTCATGGAGTATTCATGTAAGGCACTCAGTTTTCTGATGAAAACTTACCTTTCTCCATCACAAAGGGAACCTGCAGACTTGTTGAATCCATTACTTTGTGAAACCACACTTGTGTCCACATGATGTACCAATTTCTGTAGCACCAGCACCAAAAAGTATGTTGAAGCACAGGAAATCCATGTCTTCTACACAAAGGTTCACTCTGATATTGGTGTTTGATGAGCTGTAAAAGTGAGGAGAGTTGTGTGCTCTGTGTTATGCAGAGGGAAGCAATTCTGAGATATACTTGTATGCAAGATAGATACTGCAAGTGGGCCAGTAACATTCACCCATTGTTGTTGCTGCAGCTGAAGAAGTAGCAAAAGCGACAACTGATGCACTGGTGTTGAAAGGCTGCATCCCTGTATAACCACCAGATAGTGTCCATTTGTATGCTGAGCTATATTATGTGTGTGTATTTATCTGCATGGGTGCGTGTGTGTAAGCACCATAATAGTAGAAGGAATCCAGCTCTATTTCACCATTTTTTGATAGAATTAAAAAGTGATCTTTCCAGGTTTCCCTTCCTCTTGTAACGTATTTGTCTCTTCAACAGGTACATACAAAGATGGACTGTCTCCTGCAGGTCATGTTCTCTCAGATCACATGCTGCTGGGCAGTGTGTTTGCTACAATACTGGTTATTGTTGTCACAGCACAGGTTAGTTTTCATCACATTCAATCAGTATTTGTTACTTTGCCCTTTAAGTCTGTAACCGTACGCATCCTTCACGGAAAGTCTTATTTGTTTGTAAGTAACGGTTAAGTTTAGCTGTAGAAATGAGATGCCCCGGAGGGATCATGGTCCTCTGAACTGGCCTTTTGTTGCGAGGGACAGAAGGGAGGTTGGTGAGTCCATTGCATTCAAGGGGGAGTAGGTATACCTTCCCTTGTCCGTGCCTGTGGGGGTGGAGGACCTGTGGATCGAAGCTTCGAGAACGTTCGAGAAGGTGTGCAGACCGGAAGGGATCCGTGTATTTGGTCATGAAAACCTCCCAGTGGAAAGTTCGAGATGGCTAAGAACGTGGTTTCTGGAAGCAGCAGTGGGGGTAAGGAGGGAGTTAGTGAGTGGAAGCCGGGGAGTCAGGGAGTAGAAGCCAGGTAGTGAGGGTGTTCCTGTAGAACCTGTGCTAGGGGGTTAACCGATCGAGCCTGCATCCAAAAAACGACGTAAGCGAGCCAACACCCGTGTACCCCTGAGATATAAGACTCATTCTGCTGAATTTAGTCGAGGCATACACCGCGTCGAAGTAAAGCGTGTGGGGACGGGTGTAAGTCTTGTTCAAAGTTTGTGAAAGTTTGGAAATTCTGTTGCCTTATTGCGTGGATAATACAGTTATGAGATCGGAGAGAACTCCAAAGCATACAAAGTTTCTGTATGTTAACTACATTTTCACATGACTGTATTTTCAGATTTTAAACAAATTACTCCATGGAGTGGAGTCGTTCTTGAGAACATAACAGTCAAGAACTTTTTAATCTTTTATTGAAGCTAAACATTTATTACCTTATACTAAACAGCCTACTGCTAGACTCATTCCTGAGCTAGATGAATTCAATCCACCCTGTTTAATTCCATTTTAATATTATTTTCCCACCAATGTCTAGGTCTTGCAGTTTGTCTCTTCCCTTCAGGTTTTCTCACAAAACTTTTTATGGATTTCTCTCATCCCTTGTATGCTACATATCACACCCTCATCCCTTCGTTTTGATCATCCAAGTAATGTATTTGGTGATGAGTATCATTTATGAAGTCCCTCATTAGACAGTTTTCTCCACCCTCCTGCTGCTCCCTCTGTCTGTTCTCAAACACCTGAATCTACAAAACAGCGTGTGAAATCACACAGTTTTCTTTTCTTTTTTCACATTTTTGGGTAGAAAGACAAAAAGATTCTTTAACATTCAGATATTTGATGGATTATATGTAGGTTGACTTGAAAGGATTCTGATGATGGTGTATGCTGTACATAACTATTAGGCTTATTTTGGACTCTATCCATCATCTGGTATATATAAGACAAAAAAAAACCATAATGTTTCAGAGACTGGATCTGTATCCAAAATGTTGTGGTTTCTTGTCTTATATACAGTGTGTCCAGGGTATGTTAGGATTGTGTTCATTAAAAATACAAGACGTGAATTTTTTTCAAAATTTCACTCTTTTTATTCAAAATAGTCTCCTTCTGAATCAATACATAGCTGGAATCAATTGAAAAGTTTTTGAAAACAGTCACTGTACTCTTTTTTGGAATCGCATTTAAAACTGCGGTACATTCCCTTTGGATGTCCTGGATGGTGTCGTGACAGTCTCCTTTCATCACCAACTTAACTTTTGGGAACAACCAGAAATCTTCTGGAGCCAAATCTGTGCAAATACGGAGGATGATCAAGGACTGTGATCCCTTTTCTGCCCGAAAAATTGCACACGATCTTCGATTTGTGGGGTGGGGCATTGTTGTGGAGGAGCGACCAGGAACCTTGCTCTTGATGTTCAGGTCGAATTCGAAGAATTCTCACCCACCAACGATTGAGGACTCCGAGATAATAATCAGAATTCACTGTTTGACCTTCTGGCAGAAATTCCTATCAAAGAAAATTGTTAGCAGTGTCTTTATTCGACTCTTTTGCATGCTCACTTTCTTTAGGCTCAACCATGCTGCACTCTGCCACTTTGTGAGAGGCTCATATTGAAAACACCATGTCTCGTCACCAGTAACAATTGTTTTTGTAAATTTTGTATCACTTTGGGTCGACCATAACATGTCTTTGCAATATTCCACTCTGTCATGTTTTTCATCGCCTGGCAGCGCATGCGGTACAAACAGCACACAGACCTTCCGTTTGCCCAAATCCTTGGTCAAAATTTGATGCACAGTACTTTCTGGTATTTCCAAAAGCTCCTCAATGAGTCTTGCAGAAACACATCTTTCTGATGCAAGGATTTCGGTCACTTTTTTCACACTCACTTCAGTACGACTTGTTCTCAGCTTTGATATACGTGGAGCGTCTTCAATGCCCTCCCTGCCGTCACCATCGACAAATGTTCGAGCGACACAAACAATCACTACCGTACACTCTTTTCTTCATTTCGTATGCTTCTCCGGCTGTTTTGCCTAACTTCAAACAAAATTTGATGTTGGCTCTCTGTTCAACTGCCATTTTCCGACGAGCGTTAGAACAGTACTGTTATATTCAAGGTCAGAACACATGATGCAGCGATGCTTGCGCTTTGAAATTATAGACAGTCACAGCTGAAACTTCAAGAATCTTAATGCCACAGCTCGCCAACAGATGGAATTGCAGGGCAAATTTAAAAAAAAATGAGTCCTAACGGATCCTGGACACATCGTGTATACCAGACGATGGATGGAGTCCAAAATAAGCCTAATAGTTCTGTATATGTAGGTTGTTTGAATGTTTACTGAAAGGCAGAAAGTTATATTTTTACACACAGTTTTAATTTTTTTGTGAACTTAATCCACCGGCACAGCATTTGATAATTATTTTGCTGATCAACACGTACACTGTGTCTAGAATTATACATGCCATTTGACCATGTCTTAGGCTGTTTCAAATCATTTCACATCTTCGCATTCTATTTCTCTAAGATCCTGTACATGAGTTAAGCCAGCAGTCACAGCATTTGGTTCAAACAGTCATTTAGCAGTTTGCAATCAGCATGCAGTAATTTATGTGCCTGACATAAACAGAATGAGCCACTACACAGCTGAATTGATAAGTGCGCAGTTCATGTGTCAGGTGCTTATGTTTGTTTATAATCAGTCAGCTGTGAGCATTTGTGGTGTTCATGGTGAACCATGATGAGATATAATATTGAACAATGTGTATTTGTTGACAGTTTTATATGAAGGAAGAAGTCACAAGACAAATACATTCAGAAATTTCATTGGCAGTATGTGTTGTCAGATATAGCCAGCAAATTATGTTTTTTTTCAGTTTATAGAGGTAATGGCAGGAACTGGATCCTTGCATGAGACTTGAATTGAGTCCAAAAAGTCAGTTGTCTCAAGAAACTGGCGTCTCTAAAGCATTTATTCTTCAAGAAACAGAAATCTTAATGTTTCATCTGTAGAAGATACTGGTGGTGCACCATTTTATGCGAGTTTTATCAGTGGGAAAGTTTGAAACAGAAAGTTCATAGAAACAACATGTACACTTTGTAGGACTTGCAGATTGAAATTTTGAATGTTATTTTAGAAATCACATAAGCTGAACTTCATTACTCATCATCATCATCATCATCAGTAATCTGTCAAGACGACAGGTCCACAGTCTCTTTCAAAACAATTCCTCCACTTAATGCGATCTACAGCTTTCTCCTTCAAATGACAGTATCCTCTTCTGTCCCCAAGGTCATCCAGCATCTTCTTACGTCTTCTTCCTCGTCTTCTTGTCACTTCTATCCGCCCATCTATCTTTCCTTCGATAGCTTCTTTTAGAAGGCAGTTTCTGCGTAAAACATGACCAATCCAATTAGCCTTCCGTTTTCTTATTTCATGTAGGATATTCCTCTGCTCACTGACTCTAATTAACACTTCTTCATTTCTCACATAATCGGTCCAACTGATCTTCTCCATTCTTCTCCAACACCACATTTCGAAACTTTCCAGATGTTTCTGATCTACTG